CCTTGGAAGGCTATGTTATTATTGTTGAGGCCCAATTATTTGAGTCGAGGCTCGATCCACCACTTAGCCCTAATTGTAACTTATCTTGTTTGGACACTACCCTTGGCATATATTCCTCTCATCTCTCGGCCTCCATTTCAGAGTGAAATCCCCTCTTTGTGAGTCTCTCCCTCTCGGCCGTTCCCTCCTCCCTCTCTGTGACCTTTGTGGTTGACATATTGTGGGTATTTTCTTGGCCTTCTCCTTCCTATATCCATAGCAACAGGACCTTGGTGGCACAAGGTGATATTGGAGTTGTCTCAAGAATGGTGTCGGCGTTTTGAGTAAACTGAGCCCAGTTTTTTGGATTGCTTGGCTGTGGAATTCGGTCCTACACTATACATATAAAAAATAAAATGTTGCTCGACTTTTTAAGCACAGCCAAACATTCAGAATTCTCATCAAGTACGCGAACCATGTAACACAAAAGGAACATTTTCATTGCTCAAACCATGTAAGTGAAATCCGACAACAAGAATTCGCTTAAATCGACGATTAGATAACTAAAGTTGCATATGAATTTTTACATGTGTAACACAAAAGGAACATTTTCATTGCTCAAACCATATAAGTGAAATCCGACAACAATAATTCGCTTAAATCGACGATTAGATAACTAAAGTTGCATATGAATTTTTACATAGATATATGCGCAAGCGAAAAATGATAGGATTGAACCAGAAAGTAGGCCCAGGATTCATATGCCAATCGTCTCTTAGACAGAAAAACTAGAAGGATACTTCAAGTCGTCAACTTTAGTCATTGGTTGCTAAATATTGTTCGTTCCTCAATTTAATTCATGTAAAATCGGCCATCTTTAAGATCTTGAGTTCTTACTGACACAATTTCCCCATCGGCTTTATATTTCCCGTGGCTATTAATGCTGTTGACCAAAGAGCATTCTGGCATTGCATGACTTCCCCCGGAAAATTTCCCGATGCCATTGTTCGACCGAGTGGAGACTATGCTGTTATCCATGAATGAATTCTCGAAAAAAGTTTGACTCTCCAGACCACCCTGATGAAGTGGAAATGGGAAGCCGATGTTAACGCTCGATGTTTGAGAGTAATGTAGGCCACGAAAACCTGTAGTTTTGGAACTTAGGTTAGAAAAACTTCCGATTTGTGCTTCTTGTTGGAATCCCGGAAATCCAACGTGAATTTTTCCATTTAATAATTCTCCTGCCTCTATTTCCGAGCTTGGTTTATTCAAGGCTGCTGCTGGTAGAATATGATCATTCAAAGGCAAACTCAAGCATGATGAAGAAACTATTTCATCTGAATCCTCTGCCTTTTTTGTAGGTAATCCTGAAGCTTTCCCTCTGTTTGGCTCCTTTGTTGGAGTTGCTTCAAGAACTTGGTTGTGGATTATGCCCTCTTCAACAACTATCGGAAATTCATTTGTATTAGAAGCCACATTACTTTTACTCTTTTTACGTGACTCAGATCGACGCTTAGTCCGGTATTCGTTCTTCCGAGAACATTCAATATCCTTCTTTTTTGGCCGCAAAGATGACTTTGTAGACATCAACTTTCTCATCTTGTCCCTCATCCGTCCAAACATTTTCTCTCTTGCCACTTTAAGTTCGCCTATTAAGGAATCCGTGAAGTTCTTAAAATCATCCAACATTACCATCTCTTCGGTCCTGAGATTTCCATCTGCATTTTTTTTTTCTTCGACAGAACGTCCCCTCGTTTTGTTTTGCATGATGTTTTTCTTCCTTTTCAAGGTTGCTCTCTTTTTGATACCTTCCACACACTGGGTCGCATGGAGCTTATTATTCCTTTGAGATCTTGGAGTACCATTGACTTCATCTTTTTCAGGCAAAACAATATCAAAAACTAACTTGTGCTTCTTGTGAACTGGCTCATGACTCGAATTTGATTTGGAATCATCACTTGACGAGTCAACATCATCCTCTCTACTCCTAAACTCCCATATCTGCTGAAATTTCTTGTCGGGATTCATTATCATGCAGGCACCGACTGCCAAATATAAAGCTTCACAAACCAGTGATTAAACGAAAATAAAAACTACATCAATGTTATTCCTCCGAAGGGACAATTGGGACAAGGGATCACACCACAATTCTTGTCAAAAGCACTTCTTTGAGTTCTTGAGTTAGTTTTTGACAGGCCCTTTGCAACCTGAAAAATGTTGGAGAGAATTACTTAAGCCCTTATTAATTTCGCATTAGTTTCAAAGATAAAGCCAAGTCATTTTTTGCAGGGAAATCGTCATTTATTTTTGGAGAAAATCACACCAAAAACTTTCCAACATTGCTTTTCGCCAAATCTTTCATGTCAAATTAGAACCTACAGGGAATGGTTCACAGAATAGTTACAGGTGGTGCATTGGTAGCACGTATATGGGTGATTTCTTATTTTTTTTCTCCAATCACACAACAACACTGGTATTTAATAAAAAAAAATTCGTGAAACTCTTCTGTAGCACGGTCCATCAAATTAGCATCACGCACGAATAAGAAATCATAAGTACAATTAGTTTAAGCCCGTGATATCGATCTATAAAACAACATTTATCCTTCAAACAAGACGAAATCTTTCTCAAGAATCAATAAAAGAATTAAGCTGAAGCCATCAATATCATTTCAATTGTTCTAGAAAATCATATCAATATAAACTGCAACTTAAGAATATGATTAATCCATCTCACAAAATTAATGGAAATTATGCACAGTACTCGGCCGGCAGTATGATAAACAAGATTATAATTTTTTTCTTCTCTTATTAATATCCAATACTCTCCAATCTTCCATAAAAAATATACTATAAAATAAAACCAAACAGAAGCATTTTTAGCAACTCAGTCAAAATATACAAAATCTTGATGAAACCCAGAAAATACAGCAACTTCGGAAAAACATGCAAATAATAATTATAATAATGCAACTGAAAATATTAAATATCAAAACAAACTATTTTTCTGTTAACGCAATTCTTTGATTATGAAGTAATCGTACCATGTCTCAGCAGAAGAAATAGTTCGCACCAAATACTTAACCCCAACTTCTATTTCTCACTGTCATTTCTCTAATTCAGTGGCTAATCCAGCTTTGAATCAGTTTTTATTTAAGGGGCTCCACTCTCCAAATGGAATAAAAATATCTAATTTTTATGTATGTTTATGGAAGCTATCAATTTGGGCAGTATTTGGTTGGGAAGTAGAAGTAGTGAATTGGTAAGTGGGAAATTATGGGGTTGGCAGAAGACAAGTATAGAATTATGGTATTCGCCTGATTTCGTATCTAATTTTTAGTGATGAACATTGTTTAATTATTATATAAATAAAATTTTTTTGGGTTATTCAAGAATGTTTGTGATAATAAGGTTAATAATTAGAAATCTCGTTTAATCGTGAATCATATCATATTATTTTCATTTTAAGAAAGTTTTCAGACCTAATTAAAGTCGGTCAAATCTTCATTATATCTTGATTGATTTACCATTTTCCTTTTCTTTTTTTGTTTCAAGAAAGTATAAGACGTGATTGTATTGAGTTGAATGATAAATCTCATTTAATTATTATTTCAATATTGTTTCTGTTTATGTGATTTCTTTTTCAAAACAATTTGACACGTGATTAAATAAATCTCAAAACAATTCATATTAAGCATAAGAGCCTGAGTAGAATAGCCCATTACATTACATCCAATAGAGGAAATACCCTCAGATGCCATGGAAATGGTTGAAAAGTTTCATTTCCTCCAGGGAGATGATAGCTTGGGGCTGTATGAAAGTCTCGTGCTAGAAAGTAATATCACGTGTTCAATGTCCGACTTGTATCTGACATCTCACTGACACACAAGATGGTGTGTACTTTTTTATTGTGGAACATATTCGAAACAGTGCTGAGTTTATTGACACATTGTAGCCGACTTGTCATGAGTATTTAAAGTTGTTGGAAACAAAAATATAATGGAAAACTAACTTTGGTAGATTTAAAATAGATCGACAATAGGTTTGAGGAGACTCGCTTTGGTGGGTTCTTTCATCGGCTACGGCTGATAAATGTTAGGAAGCATGTACGTAAACACTGGAAAGAAAATATATGTCATTAATATGAAAAATGCTACTTCGCACAAATTTAGGTGACAACGGGAGTCACATTTAATTTATGAACGAATCAAAATGCATCAAATATCATTCAACAATTACAGGTGAATCATCACTATTGCCTAAACTGTGCCATAAAGAATTACTTCTAAATTATACCCATAGGATTTGCTTGGGAGTTTCAGGGTATTGGTTATAAACTTTTTTAAAATACCAATTTTTGATTAATTTGAATAGCAGTTTTTAAAATAGTCTAACATATACTTGAGAATTTATCATTCACTGATTTTGAAAGTTTTTTAAAGGAATAATTTACATATATGTCCCTTAGCGAAATTTTTAGTTTATAATTTCTTGTACAAAATTTTTTTACTCATAAATGATGTTTTATTTATAAGAAATTTTTTTCAATATTTAAGTTAAAAAATTAAATAAAGTTAAATATTTAACTTTAGTGGAATAGACTTTAGGTTAAGCCCCGTCTCTGTCTCCTTTTGTTGTAGCCTTCCACGTGACATCCTGTTATAAACTTTGGGAAAATTGCAGCTAAGATACTGAATTTTTCATTTAATAACAGAGTTGACCCAAATCTTTCATTTGTGCCAATCCAAGTACCAAACCTTTATAAAATTTGTAGTCCATGTCCAAAATGACGATTTGTATCAGTTTGACCTAGAAACTGTGAGAAACCATTAGTTGACCCCATAAATGAAAAAAATTATAATTTTGACCATACAAAACAAGGGCAATATTGTCAAAATACATTTTCCCTATTAAATCAAAAAATAAACCACCCACACCAATCTACTTCTTCTTCAACCCTTTTACCCCAAAACCAAAACCACCCCCACTTAGTCGTCAGCCACCACCACCACTGCCACCGTTGGCGCCACAGCCTTCTGACATCCCAAATAGCCAGGTCCAATAGAAAAAGAAGATTCTTCTCGCTCCCCAATCCCACCCCCATACAAAGCCAAAGCCAAAGCCAAAGCCAAATCCAAATCTAGAGAGCGACAACAAGGTATTACGATGGGGTTCTCGACTCCCAACTCATTAGACACCCTTGCGCTGCAAGAATGGATATTGGACTATAATAAGAGAAAATATTTGATAAATTCGAGAATTATCATATTTTTTCTATAATAACTTGTAGTTGCTCCAAGACAGCAAGCAAACATGTAACAAATGGCTTATGTATTTAAAATTTTGAACTGAAGGTACAATCATCAAAAGTTAGAGAAAATATTTGAAACAAATCAATATAAAAACAAAAATAAGTGAAGATTATACCGAGTTGCTATCAGTGAAGTGTTTGTTTTGGAATTTGGCATCATTCCTACTAGCAAAACAAGAAGCTCAAATGGTCACTCTTCCAAAATACCAAAATAATTAGCAATTTATAATTTTTCAAAAATGCGAAAATCATAATCGGCATCTAGTCATTTTTCATAACTCCGACAAGAGGGTGGATTCAGACTGTTGACCTCCAGAAATGTTACTCTAATGTGGCCAACAGATCTCAAGACCTCTCACGTCCAAACAAGTCATATTCATATACACTAGGACAAATCGTTAGCACGTGGCCTTCTCCGATGGGGTGGAGTCGACCGCCCACACTCCGACGGTTAAGTCAGTTTTGGTAAGAAATGTATAAGTGTGGGAGAGCTTTTAACGTGAGCCTCCAATGTAGAAAAGGGGATCGGTATTAGGAGTAAATAAAGGGTGTAGAAAGTCAAGTTATATTATCAAAGTTTAAACTTGCATTATCTCTCGAATGACACCGAGTGTTATCTAATATGAGTTTCATTTTATTTAACAATCATGTTATATGTGCAATATCATTTACACCTTTCTTTACACTTCTCCACACGGCAACATTTAGATTCTTGATTTTAAACTTATCCATCATATCACTGCAAAGATTTCCTCCACACGGGAGTGAATGTCACCCAAGTAGTAAAGGAGGTTGTACATATATCATTATTCTTTATTTAAGGTACAAATGATAGATTCTACGTTAGAATCCCAACTATCTTAACTCAAAATCGATTTATTTAGGACTCTATCAAACTTGTATTGATCTACAACATATTGAGTACAAGATGAACTTCAAAAGACTAACCTATACGTGACAAAATCAATTTACATTATACAAAAAGGACAACTTTCTTACAAGATTGACATATTTGGCAGCAATATTGAACGAAATTGAACCTCACAATAGACAAGATTTCAACTTTTTTTCTTTTTTAAGTGTCCAGTCCAAATCCAGCTGACCAGACATGCCGCATGTTCATCCTGCAAAAAAGATTGAGCCCAATCTCACAACTGAGAATCTTATGTGTAAGAAAGAAACCACGAAGAAACATCCAAAAAATTTAAGTACCACCAAAAGATACCTTCAGCTTACGCAAAGGATTTCCTAGAATAGTATTAACGACTTTCTAGCAACCCACAGAAACATAACAAGGCAAGCAGTTACAACAATCAAAATCGACATTCAGCATAGATAATTTCATTTTTACGCTTCTTCCTCAGAGCATGCGGTCATTAGAAAGAACTATATAACGAGCATGTTTGGGAAAAAAAAGTTGTTGTTTTAGAAGTTGGGATCCACAAATTGTGTGGACCAAAATTCCTAGGTCATAAGATGGAAATTATTTTTGCCAAACATGCTTATCAACGTTCTTCTTCCCTTACAAGTTTATGTTTGACAGAGAGGATTAGATGATATTAAAAAAGAAAAAGAAGTTAAAATCATTTTAATCATATTGTCTAGCCTTGTTGAGTCAGTGCACCCAACCCAACATGCACTATGAATAACACAGCTTCATATGTTCCATTAGAATTATTATTGTTGGAAAAATGAGTTGAATGGCTAATTTTGGCAAAAATTTTGATTGGGACTCGTTTGTTTATTTTGGAAGATCAAAATTGATTTGTGTTCTCCTCCGTGAGAACCTCGAAGTCATATATTTACTTGTCAAAAATGATCATCGGCTGAATGAGAAATTGGAGCTCAAATTGTGCCAATTAAAAGGAATTTGTGTGTTGGAGAAGGTTTGACCGACATAGGAAAATAATGAAAATAAAGACCACTTTATATAGGATTACGCTTTGAAAGTGTATAGTCATGTGTAGTATAAAGGCTCTCTCCATGTGCACGTATAGGGAGAGTGCAAATCTGGATTGAAATAGACTTTGGACCTAGAACTTGTATGCGGACGTGACCTACGTATACGAATATCGGATTGGATTGATAAAAAATTGTACCCCTAGGAGGGCCTATGTTTTGCCAATTTTTTTCTTCCAACTGACCTTTTAAATTCCAAAACTACTGAAACCCCAATAGTTATTGTCATTATAATACAAGTTAATGGCATACTTATGGACAGAATTAACTCACCATTCATGGGGTTAAGTCTCTATATGAAAACCTGTTTTTCCACTATTCCACACAAGAAACAATACAGTTTTTGCATAGTTTCTCTTGGTTTGCATCAGTTTCTGCATAGTTTCTTTTGGTATGCATATTGCATAAATTTAAAGTCCCTTGTCTGTCTGATTTTTTTTTTCTTTTGGTGATATTGTTCTAACACAAGTTCAGTTCGCCTGAGTAGTAATTGAGGTGCTCAAATTCTATCCGTTACTCCATTGTTTCTTGAGAGACAAGTGTTCGAACTAAAAATCAAGCACCTACGGTGAAGGAGCAAATTTGTAAGGAAACTGTGTTCACATAAGTCTCGATTTCAAATTTCATTTGATTCTTTTCCTTGTTTGTTGTAATTTAGATTAACTTATTCTATTTTATTGTAATTAGCAAAATTATTTAATCTGCTATATTTTGGCTAATATTTAGTAAGCTATTGCAAATCCAGTATTTCTGTTGGTTACATATCTGGTGTGTACAAATTTGGTATTTCTGTGTGTTGCATATCTGGTATGTGCAAATCCGGTATGTGTTCATCCGGTATTTGTTACAGTTACTAATAATTTTTATTCTAACTTACTTCATTTCAGAAGATGATTCATAAAAATACAACAGCAAAGTTAAATGTAAATAGATAAGGAAAACTAGAACAACGTACTACCATGAAAATTCAATCACATCAATCCCAGCTTGGTGAAGCTCGTCTACATACTGCAGTGCTTCTCGGCATTCCTCC